TATTTTTAACCCTGAAAAATTTTTCTATCTGTTCGAGGAACTCCACGGGATTAGCGGATATCTCGTCCGCAAACGTTGGCATTTTAATATCTAAGTTATAACGACCTAACTGTCCTAGCATCATTTGTATGTTTTGTCCCTCTACTCTCTGACCTGTATTTTCACTCGTCCCTGCCGATTGCTGATCGTTTATTGCCCGGAGTGCCGTTAATTCTGCCCGCGCACGTTCTAGTTCTTCCTGGATCCGGCTTATTTCCTCCCTGCTTCGCTCCATCTCGCTCGCCGCAATTTCTGCTAACGGGTCCCTTTCCATTATAGGCATGTTTTGTCTTTTCTCTTTCTTTCCTACAAAATTGTAACTGTTATACTTTTGCTTCGCCTGTCTTCCCGTCCGTGTTACATATATGTTCCTCTCCTCCTCGGCCATACACTACTATTTCCAATCTCTCATACTCTGCTTTTATTATCCCGGTTCTATTTCTAGACTCTTTCGAATACCACGTTGGGCGCCAATTGTAAGGTAACCCTCTTCTTCACCTCGCTATATGAGGCCTCCGATTCGGGTTGCCTTGGTATTCAAGATCAGAGTTATGGCCTTACAAGGAATTCCGTGAAGTAATCGACAATGCTTTATTTCCCTTCCGCCATGCTAGACAGCGTGGTCGGCATGTACATGTTAAACCTTACTTTTCTAACCGCTGTCGCATATTGAGATCTCCCAGATCCGCAATTTCGCCAGTCTCCTTTGACAAGAGTAACAATTCCGTGGTATCGCGATACGATTTATCGCGAAGTCATGATATATAAAGAAAAGTAGAACGATCTATATTGGTTGTGTGCGTTATGTTTATGATTCGAAATCACCCGGTCAACGAAAGTCATCGGCGGCATACAATTTCTAGCGGCAATTTGGTCGCTCGTATATATCTATGTTATCATGGTAACTAGGACTAACAATAAGAGGAAGAGGTGAGAGGCGTAACTGCTACTCATCTACAATGGAGCGGGTCCCTCGATGGCTCTTTCTCTTGCTCCGGAGCCGTTTACGGACCACGCAGTGACACTCGGTCTGCTTCCGGACGGGGCCCAAGACTCCCAAGATGATAGTAGGCGATTCGAGTTAACTTATTGAATCGGCTTTCCCGTCTCGGATGTATTCGCACCAGCTCCAGAGCCTTCCACGTACCCAGACGTCCTCGTATTGGCTCAAGAAGCCTCCACGTGCCCTGACGATATCGTACACATTCCGAGCGGCCGTTCTCACCTCTCGTCTTCGCCGTGGCTCCGGAACGAAAGAGGCCGAGACCATGCGCGCTATCACCTTCTATGCTCGTGAATCTTTGAGCATGCGCATGATCCGGTCCTCCCCCTACCTCCTGAGTCCCGCTCGTGGGGACCGTGTTCTACACTCTCACAAAATAATGTACACCAGTTCGTATGCGTCTTTCCTGGATACGATCCTGAAAAGGGCCCAGGCACTTTTAGCCGTTGATACACTGTTGGCGCGAATAAAAACATGGCGGAAAATTGAGAACGCCTAGATCAAAGGTGCCGACAGAGAGTGCTGCCCATACTGGTTATACTGTGACGTAACCGTAATGGCTCCTGCCCACTGGATGCGTTAACGTTTGCCGCGCGGTGGAACTTAGCTAGGGAAACTAGCACTAGCCAATCCAGCTCCGAGCGCACGAGACGTTAATTGCTGGTTACCCTAATCAAGTTCCGCCGCGCTGCAAACGTTACCGCGTCCAATGGACAGGAGCCATAAAATTCGGCCAATCACAGTCAAAAACCAGTGATACGTGTGTATCTACATACCATGTTTGAAACTCGAATAGAGGATGCATTCAGCAAACAATCTTTGTAGGGATTTTCGACTTTCTAACTAAACTCCGAACGAATTCTGAACATACTTATAACTTGGCAACAGGAAATATGTCTCGTGCTAGCATTTACGAAAATTAGAAAAAATTTTGCAAATTAAGAGCCCAAAATCGTGAAAATGAGATTTCAGATAGCCCATTTGGGCTACAGGCGATTTTTTAGATTTAGCGATAGCCATTTCGCCGGTGAGATAGCCCAAATGGCGATAAATCGCCCAATCTGGCAACCCTGCCTTCTTCTTGAACTCGTCTGTGAGAAAAGATAATATGTTATTCGTAGAACCAGAAAAGGGATCGATTTCTTCTTTTTGGCAAAATCCCCACCACTTTTTAAAACCGGAATTATATTGTCGGAGTGATGATTCTGATAACGATGCTATTAGTATATCTATTGATTCCCGTGGAACTTCCTTCCGGGTGAAGTCTTCCCTAATAGTCTGCCGGCCACCAATGAAAGACGATGCCACAAAGGGTGTGTTTCTCTGTAAGAAGACCGTATCAATTTTTCGTTTGGTTGGAAAATAATGGGCTCAGCATCGAGTAATGGTAAAAATAGAGGGAACCATGGTTGTGTCTCCCAATATGGCACTATACCATCTGAGCCTTCATGTTGAATTTTACTTAAAACTTTTAATATTACGGAAAAAGGAGGAAAAGCGTAGAAAAAAAATAGTTTCCACTCTAAAGTAAATGCGTCAATGGCTATTGAACCGGGATCCTGCCGCCATGACATGTATTTACGACATTTTGCATTTGCTCTTGAGGCGAATAAGTCTATTTTTGGCTGCCCAACAACTTTTACTATCTCCTGGAAGGCGCTACCGTCTAGTTCGAATTCTGTTTCCGGTTGCAGTCTCCGTGACTCATAATCTGCCTCAACGTTCTCTTTGGAAGGAATATAGGAAGCCGTAATCCAGATGTCCCTTCGCTCGCACCATTGCCACATTTCTCTGATAAGGGAACGGAGACCTTCGTAACGATTGTCTCTCATGCGATTAATATGTGCAATCGCTGTTATATTATCTAAGCGTAATATGTTATTACAACTTCGTCTGTTACTTGCGAAGCATTTCAAACCGAAAAAAGCTTAAGTTTTAATAGATTGATGTGTAATTCTAAATCTTCCGCCTTCCAATACCCGTGACTGCGCTGATTTTCACAAGAAATGCCCCATCCCGTGAAAGAGGCATCGGAAAAAATTTTTAAGTTATTATATAAACCGATTCGGTTATTGGCGCGCTCGTGAGTAGAATGTTTTTTTTCCACCATGCAAATTCTTCCTCTAGCCCTACCGAGGGGGTCATTATTGCATCAAAATTATTTTGATTCTCTTCTAATGCGCGAAGTCTTTCCTTCTCGAATCGTCTCACACAAATTATCCCGTATTTTGACGCCGGACACCGAGAAACTAGTGTACCTATAAACGCTGCAAATTCTCTTATCGTGCAATACGATCTTTTACTAAATTTATTCAATAGGTCTATTGTTCGATGTATTTTTTCTTCCATTAATTCTATAGACATCTTGTTAATGATAACAATTGCTTCAGGTTCTATCGTTTATTAAGCCCGTGGTGTCTTTTGGCAATACAGTTTTCTTTATCTGGCTGACGCTCTGATGCAACGAACAACTCAGATTCCGTTACTCAGGCACGAACTCTGACTCTAACTAAGATCCGCGCAAGCGCAGAAAGAATAGGCCCGCGAATGCGCATAGGCATGAACATCTTCCGGCCACCTTGAAAGAACTTTCAATATAAATTTGAATATAAAATTAAAGTGTTCAACTTAAACTAACTTAATGATAAACTTAGTGAACTGATTATAATAGGCAATTAATAAATGAAATTCGCAGTCGATTGTCTTTTATCTTCTCTTTAACCTTCAGGAAAATCCGTTATTGGAAGCAAGCACAGCTTCCTGACAGGCCTTTTAAATATTCCGCTCGAAGTTCGTAATGTGACGACTCTTATTTCACCATCCGAATCTGGGTGTACTTGCATTATTCGACCCAATCGCCACTGGAGAGGGGGGAGATTATCTTCCTTTATTATGACCAGGTCGCCTTCTTTCGCCTTGTAACGAGTCGCCAGCGAACACCGCGTATAGCTCCGGCACCCCCTCCTTGCGCGCGATCCCCCGCCTCGTCTCTCTGCCGCTCACCTCCCACTTGCGCCTATATAACGGCACCGCGCGCCCACCGAAGCACCATTCCCGCCCGGCGAGTTGAGCCGGCACATGCTCTCAACAAGCGAGCTGAGCTTCGAGAGAGACTCCATCGCCTCGTGTGCTGAACGGGGCCCCCCCTTCCCGACGTGCGTGCTGAGCATATCCTTCTGATCCTACCGTACGAGCTGAGTACGGCCGACACTCCGACGTGCGTGTTGAGCGCGTCTCACCGACCCCGATGTACGTGCTGAGTACATTCCTTCAATACCGACGTGCGTGTTGAGCACGCCCGCCCCGTCCGCCCGCCCTACCGAGGCCCCGACCCGAGGGGCTGACTTCGACACCGAGCTCGCGATCGGGGAACGCGCTTGCGCCGCCGCAACCCCGCGTCGTCGCACCGCGACCAGACCCGGGGAGAATACGACCGGCGTTTAGATGTTAAGGCACTAGATATTAAGAAACTAGATAATAAGACAGTAGGGTTAAGATATTAGAAGTCATTAGCGCAGGGAACTGTATTATATTAGCCTAGGGCAGATGAAAGAATAAAAGACGGAAAACGAACAGAGCATGCAGTCTATTGGCCAATTCCCGCCGCCCGGACCTCGGTCCATACTCCGAGCTATCCGTAGCAAGGAAAGAAAGTCACAGCCTTATTGCTGGAAGTTGTCCATTTGGTCCTCTTCTGCAATTCTTGCAAGTATTCCGTCCTCCATCATTCCCAAAACAGTTGGCTTAATTTTTGAACTCGTTGCCATCTGGATAGACAGCCTTCTGGAGCATCAAGGTAACTTTTCTGCCCTGGTTGCAGAAGTGAGCTCCCAATTAGGAAATGTGCTGGTGTCAAAACAGAAAGATCTGACGGATCGCTCGAGAGCGGGGTTAATGGCCGCGAATTAAGCACAGCTTCTATTTGAGCGAGAAGAGTGCTATACTTACTCCTCATACGTCAGAACGCGTCATTCTGTATAGTGTGTAAATGTCTCTTGGTACTCTTCACCGCTGCCTCCCATAATCCTCCAAAGTGAGGAGCGCGAGGTGGGATGAAGCGCCACTTTATTCTATGTTCCGCCAATTCTGATTCGATTGATTTTTGTTCCTTAATTAAGAACTCGTACAATTCTTTAAGATGCTTAGCTGCTCCCACAAAGTTGGTGCCATTATCCGATAATATTTGAGAGAACAGTCCTTTGCGAGCGATAAACCTTCGTAAAGTAGCGATGAATGCGTCGGTTGATAGATCCGTTACCATTTCTAGGTGCACTACTTTTGTACTTGTACAAACAAACACGGCAACGTATCCTTTGCTGACATGGATTCTTCCTCTGCGTTTGCTTTCTCGAATTTGAATTGGACTCGCGTAGTCTATACCTGTGATGGTAAATGGTCGGTCCACACTCCGAATTCTCTCGGCAGGAAGCTCACCCATCTTGATCTCCATTGTAGTTGGATTGATACGATAACATTTAACATATTTCTTGATGATCTTACGTACTTCTCGTCTCCCGCTGATTGGCCAAAATCGCTGGCGTACATCGTGCAACAATTGTTCCGGTGGACAGTGAAGCAATCGTTCGTGCCGGTCGCGTAGAATAATACTGGTGACATGGTGTTTTGTAGGCAAGACGATGGGATTTTTCTGTTCCGATTTGATCTCCGCGTGTTGCAGCCTACCTCCTACACTGATCAAACCTTCTTCATCGATGTATGCAGACAGTGCGCGTAACTGACTTTTTCGTGGGAATGGTCTGCCTTCTTGTAGATATCGAATCTCCACGGGAAAAGCTTCTTGTTGAACCCATCGTAGAATGATTCTTTCCGCTCGTTCCAGCTTGGCCGCGGTAAGTGGCGTTGCTTTCCTGCCCGATCTACAGCTTTCTAAGAACCTGTAACAATAAGCTACAATTCTACATAGTTTACCGTATGAGGAATACTTTCTTAAACGTTGGCGCGTGTGAGTCAACATCAGACTGATTGACAAGGATCTCAAATCGGGTAATATAATCTCTGGACTTTCCATTGCAGGGGGTGGTTGCTTGCCTTCTCTTAACCAGCAAGGACCATTTCACCACAATTGTTCTTCTATTAAACGATTTGCTGAAACCCCTCTTGATAAGAGGTCGGCCGGGTTTCCTTCCGACGATACATGTGCTCACGTGGCTTCCTCTGTAAGACCCTGAATTTTTGATGCCCGAGTGGCTACAAATGTCTTGAGTAGATGCGGTGGTGTCTTTATCCAGCTGAGCGTTATCATACTGTCACTCCACAGTCTGACCTTGTTTATTTTGTCTCTATAGGACCTTTTGACAATGTTGTACAGTTGCGCTAGCAAGAGGACGGCTTCTAACTCAAGCCTCGGTAAAGATATAGTCTTCAGCGGTGCCACCTTCGCTCTTGCACAGATTAACTCCGAATGATTTATCCCTTGCTTATCTCTGTAGACTGCATAGACATGCTCCATATGCTGCTTCTGACGCGTCTCGATACCCATAAAGATCGAAGGTCGACACTTGGTTTCGAATATTGACATTCCTATGTACTCTTATGTCATTCAATCTAGCAAGCGATGTGTTATAATCTTCCCAAGCTATTCTTAAGTTCTTCGGTAGCTCTTGATCCCATTCCACTTGCTGCTGCCATATCTTCTGCATGATGATCTTTCCAACGATGAGTACTGGCGCTACTAATCCAAGGGGATCAAACACCTGTGCAATTTTTATAACACATTCCGTTTTGTATTTAATGCATTTCCTTCTAACGTAACCTGGTATTGGAAAGTATCCGTGGTCGCATTCCATAGAAGTCCCAACGTCTTAAGTGGCTGATCCTTGTCTACCACGAGCAAATTGTCTGCTCTGCTGTGTTCTGACAAATGTTTTAGTACGTCTTGATGGTTTGCTCTCCATTTTCGCAAAGGAAAATGTCCACGTGCCAACATTTTCGTCAACTGAGTTTGCAATGTTATTGCACTTTTCAGTGTAGGTCCTCCAGACAGAACATCGTCCATGTAGAAGTCCTCCTTTATCGCTTTAGCTGCCAATGGAAATTCTCGTTTGTAGATATTTGCCAACTCCTTGAGGCATCGCATTGACAAGAAAGGGGCACTTGCCGTTCCATAAGTAACAGTATTCAATTTATATAATTGTTGATATTGCGTTTTTTCATCACGCCACAGAATCAATTGCAAGTTTCGATCCCGATGATCTACTAAAATTTGCCTAAACATTGATGTTATATCCGCCGTCAGAGCAAATTCATGCGTTCTGAATCGAATCAATATTCTCTGTAGATCGGCTTGTAAATTCGGTCCAGGCATCAGCGTGTCATTCAGTGATGCGCCGCTTGTAGTCTTTGAAGAAGCGTCGAAAACGACTCGTAACTTTGTTGTCGTGCTTTCGGGTTGGAAAACTGGTTGATGTGGAATAACATAATGCTCCTGCGCAAGTACCTCACTCTGATTTTCGACTGCTGACATGTGACCCTGTTGTAGGTATTCCCTTAAGAACTCGTTATAAGATTTCTTCAACTCTGGATCCTTAGATAAGCATCGCTCCAAGAAACTGAGTCTTCTAATAGCCTGTGGCATAGAATCTCCCAAATTCACATGCGAACGAATTGGCAACCGAACGATGAATCTGCCATCATCTTGTCGTGTAGTAGTGTTAGAGAATAAATTCTCACAATGCATTTCCTCTGGCGAGTATGGACAAACCTCCGGAACCTCTTCTTGGATCCAAAACCTCTGCAGCTGACTCTGTAGCTGTGAATTAGTGACCACATTGCAACAATCCAACGTGTTGATAAGCTCCTCTTCCAATTCTCCACCGATGATCACTCCCAGATGCGTATTCTGTAGAGCAGGTCTTCCTTTGATGTGATTTTCCAGTGCGCCAATAATAATTTTCCAATATACTCCTGCGCCGAAAAGCATATCTATAGGTCCTGGTTTGTCGTATGTGGGGTCTGCCAATTTAGTATCCCTTGGGAGTTGTATTTAACTTGACTTGTGGTAACTGTGATTTCCGGTACCACTAAACATTCCACCGCTGTTTTAAAATCCCC